AGGTTTAGTGTATACTCCATCAGCTGTTTTAAGTTCTGTCATCTGTGTGCGTCAGCTCAGGTACAGTGTGTGTCCTCTGGGGCGGCGCTCTGGGACTCGTGTGCGCTTCTCTGACCGTAACGCTCTGGACTGGAAGGAGGAGCTGGTGGAGTGTTCATCATATGAGGACAAGAGCTTCAGCATCACACGCATGGAGAGAGACAGCAGCACACAGACCTGCAGAGACAACACACACACCTGCACACAGACACTCTGGTACACACACATACACACACACCTGCACACAGACACTCTGGTACAAACACATACACACACACCTGCACACAGACACTCTGGTACACACACATACACACACACACACCTGCACACAGACACTCTGGTACACACACATACACACACACACACCTGCACACAGACACTCTGGTACACACACATACACACACACACACCTGCACACAGACACTCCGGTACACACACATACACACACACACACCTGCACACAGACACTCTGGTACACACACATACATACACACACACCTGCACACAGACACTCTGGTACACACACATACACACACACCTGCACACAGACACTCTGGTACACACACATACACACACACACACCTGCACACAGACACTCTGGTACACACACATACACACACACACACCTGCACACAGACACTCCGGTACACACACATACACACACACCTGCACACAGACACTCCGGTACACACACATACACACACACCTGCACACAGACACTCTGGTACACACACATACACACACACCTGCACACAGACACTCTGGTACACACACATACACACACACCTGCACACAGACACTCTGGTACACACACATACACACACACCTGCACACAGACACTCCGGTACACACACATACACACATACACACACACCTGCACACAGACACTCTGGTACACACACATACACACACACACACCTGCACACAGACACTCCGGTACACAATTGTTGAACATCACTTGCTGAAAATATTTAAAAAGATGATGAATATTTGCCAGGAGTGCTCTTAACGTGTCCAGCTGTATATCCCATGATGCCCTGAGAGATGTGTGTGTGTTTCAGGAAGAAGCCGAAGAACATGTGGAGTCAGTACGAGCCGCGAGAGTTCAGCTCAGAGGAGAAACAGCATCAGCTGCAGTCAGAAAACCTGAAGAACTTCATCACGTCTGTGGCCAGGAGGTCAGGAGATGGACATTACTACAGTCACTCATACTGAATACTGTGGTGTTTTGAGTTATACTATAGTAAAGTGTGTAATAGTGTATATATTATAATATCTACAACTCTATGTTAATGAGTGATGCAGTATACTGGTGTTACCTTTATTGAACAGATCAATTGTAATAAATACTGTGGTATACTTTCATTATACTACACAGCACTGTGCTGTTAGATATTGGAGCATTGTAATATAACTTTAGTAATATAAAATATATCGAGACATTTGATTATTACTACAGTTGTTGTGTTACCATAGCAACTGTAGAATCACCACAACAGATTAGCTACTGTAGTTGTTCCGTTACCATAGCAACTGTAGAATCACCACAACAGATTAGCTATTATAGTTGTTGTGTTACCATAGCAACTGTAGAATCACCACAACAGATTAGCTACTATAGTTGTTGCGTTACCATAGCAACTGTAGAATAGCCACAACAGATCAGATAGCATAGTTGTTGCTTTACCATAACAACTTTAGAATCACCACAACAGATTAGTTACTATAGTTGTTGCGTTACCATAACAACAATAGTATCATCACAATAGATTAGCTATTATTGTTGTTGCGTTACCATAGCAACTATAGAATCACCACAGCAGATTAACTACTAAAGTTGTTGTGTTACCATAGCAACTATAGTATCACCACAACAGATTGATTCAAGTACTTTACTGTAGTATGGTTGAGAAACACTAGGGTATTTACAGTAAATGACTGTAGTATTGTTTGACGTGTGCTCTACAGTCTCAGCTTCAGCTCTCTGACTGTGTGTGTAGGTTTGAGATCTACCTGCAGCAGAATCTGATCGCAGACGTGTTTTGTGACGACTGGACGGCGCTGTGTGAGGACGACGCTTCACTGATGGGGAAAACAGAGACTCAGCTGAAGGAGTATCAGTCCTTCATGGACCTGCACTTCAGCAAAGAGAAAACCATCAGCCATGTGCAGTGGCATCCCTCCATCAGCGGTCAGAGCCAGACACTGCTTTACAAGAAGTGAACACAGAAGATAATACCAACAAATAATGACGTGAATAAATAAAATAGCCAAACTGAAATATGAATAAAAATCTAGCGCAAGAATAAAATAAAACAGATTAAATGATAAAATGATAGCCTCTGTGTAAATAAAATAACAATGATAAATAAAGTGTGCATAGAGTAAACAGAGTAGCTATACTGGAAGATAAACTATATGAGAAAATAAAATACGTGTATTACAAAAATAAAACAAGAAGTTTTTAAACAAAATTAAATACTAAAAGGAAATCAAAACAAAATATGTAGCATAAAGAAACTAGCCGTAGAGCTGAATGGTACAGACCGGTATATTTGGGCTGATGTTGTGATCGTGCTGCAGGAGTGATTGTGGTGTCCATGATGGAGAGACTGTCTCTGGAGGAGCGCATCGACAGCTCCACTAAACTCCTGCTCAACCCCTCACACATCCTGTTCTGGAGCTTCTCTGACCCCATCAACCCACAGGTGCTCCACATCAGTGTGTGTGTGTGTGTGTGTGTGTGTCGCATGATGTGTGTGTGAGTGAGTGTTTGTTTGATCATGTGTGTATGTGTGTGTTTGATCCAGCTTTGATTCTGTGTGTGTGTGTGTGTGTGTTTGTGTGTGTATATGTGTTTGACTGTGTGATCATGTTTGCTGTGTGTGTCGCATGATGTGTGTGTGTGAGTGTTTGTTTGATCATGTGTGTATGTGAGTGTTTGATCCAGCTTTGATTCTGTGTGTGTGTGTGTGTGTATATGTGTTTGACTGTGTGATCATGTTTGCTGTGTGTGTTGCATGATGTGTGTGTGTGTGTGTGTTTTTGATCATTTGTGTTGTGTGATGTGTGTGTTTGATTCTGTGTGTGTGTGTGTGTGTGTGTATATGTGTTTGACTGTGTGATCATGTTTGCTGTGTGTATTGCATGATGTGTGTGTGTGTGTGTTTTTGATCATTTGTGTTGTGTGATGTGTGTGTTTGATTATGTGTGTGTGTGTGTGTGTGTGTGTTGCAGCTGCAGCTGGAGTGTCCAGATGATGTTCTGTGTTTTCAGTTTTCTCCGTCTGACCACAACATCATCGCCGGCGGCTGCATGAATGGACAGGTGGAGGAAAACTGCACACACAACTCGACTCACCTTTACCTTCATCTCCTTTCCTTTTCCTTCCTTTTTCCTTTCCTTTTCCTTTTTCTTTCAGTTCTTTTTTTGCTTTTTATATTTTATTTGCCATTCTACTTCTTTACCTCTTGCTTTTCTCTTCCTCTTTTCTTCTTGCCAATCTTCTTTTTCTTTCCTTTCACATTATTTTCCTTTCCATTCTTTACTTTCAATTTCCTCTTCCTTTCCATTCATTTCTTTTCCATTTCCTTTCCACGATTTTCCTCCTGCTTTTTTCTTTTTCTTTTCTTTGCTTTTCTTTTCTTTTCTTTTCTTTTCTTTTTCTTTCTTTTCTTTTCCTATTCAAATGTCTTGTCCTCTTTCTTTCCTTTTCCCATTTCCTCTTCCTTTCTTTTGTTCTTCCTTTACTTATTTCAATTTAAACCCGGTTTCCTTTTCCTCTTCTTTTCTTTTTTCTCTTTCTTTAATTTTCTTTACCTTTTTCTTTTCTCCTTGATCTTCCATTTCCTCTTCCTTTCCTTTCCTTTCTTTTTTCCATTTCCTTTTCCTTTCCACTATTTTCAAACCTCCTTTCTATTTTTCTTTTCTTTTCCTCTTTCTTGTCCTCTTCCTTTCCTTTCCCTTTCTTTTCATCTTCCTTTCATTTTCTTTCCTCTTTCTTTTCCTTTCCCTTTTTCTTTTACTCTTCCTTTCCTTTTATTTCCTCTTCTTTTTTCTTTCTCATTCATTCATTTTCTTTTCGGCTTAGTCCCTTTATTAATCCGGGGTCGCCACAGCAGAATGAACCGCCAACTTATCCAGCATATGTTTTATGCAGTGGATGCCCTTTCAGCCGTAACCCATCACTGGGAAACACCCATACACACTCATTCACGCACACTCTCATACACTACGGCCAGTGTAGTTGATCAGCACCCGGAGGAAACCCATGCCAACACGGGGAGAACATGCAAACTCCACACAGAAACGCCAACTTACCTAGCCGAGGTTCGAACTAGAGACCTTCTTGCTGTGAGGCGACAGCACTACCTACTGCACCACTTTGTCGCTCTTTTCCTCTTCCTTTCCCTTCTTGTCCACTTCATTTTCTTTCCTTTTTTTTCCTCTTTCTTAAATGTTCTTATCCTTTTCCTGTTTTCTTTTTATCTTCTCTTCTCTTCCATTTCCATTTACTTTCCTTTTTTCTTTCCTTTCCTTTCTATTTTTTCTTTTCCATTTACTTTTCCTTTCCTTTTTTTTCTCTTCCTTTCCTTTTCCTCTTTCTTTTCTTTTTGTTTCATCTACCTTTCACTCTTTCCTCTTCCTGTTCCTGTAGTCAGCATATAGACTTTTATAAAAGTGTAAAGTTTGGCTGGTTTACTTTAAATGAACTGCACATAAGTACTGTAACACATATATACATGTACTATATGCAGCTTGTTGATGAAGGAGTGTTGTGTTTACAGGTAGTATTATGGGATATTTCAGCACATGTGGATCGACTGCAGGACACACGGAGCGGCGGCAAAAACATCCTAAACAAACTAGTGAGTTACACAGAGCTGCTGTGTGTGTGTGTGTGTGTGTGTGTGTGTACATTCACCACGCATTTAATCAACTGATAACCTATACGAACACACTCACAGAAGATTAACCCTGCGGTTATTAAGAGTGTGTGTGAGTTTACTGCGTCTACATGAAACATTTGTCGCCTTCATTTAAAACACTGACTCCTCAAGCTGTAGCAGAGTGCGGGATTCATCGGCTTTTCATTCTTTCATTCATTAATTTACCTCCGACTTAGTCCTTTTATCCATCAGGGGTCACCACAGCGGAATGAACCACCAACTATTCTGGCATATGGTTTACACAGCAGATGCCTATCAGGCTGCAATTTAATACTAGGAAACACCCATTCACACTCATACACTATGGTCAGTGTAGTTGATCAGTTCCCCTATAGCGCATGTGTTTGGACTGTGGGGGAAACCGGAGCACCCGGAGGAAACCCACGCCAACACGGGGAGAACATGCAAACTCCACACAGAAACACCAACTGACCCAGCCGGGATTCGAACCAGTGGCTTTCTTGCTGTGAGGCCACAGTGCAACACCACTGAGCCACCACGCCGCCCTCATGTGCTTTTGTTAGATCATTTTTAAAGTAACAGTTTATTGTGCAGCGTGTGGAAGTAAAATAGAAGTAATGGTATAATATAGTGTATGTGAAAATACCATAGTTTGATATTGCCAGATATTTTCATAGATCTGTTTCATTGTTTGTTTGTATGTTTATGGTTTTATGTTATGGTCTTCTTCATTTTGTGTGCAACATTTTCAGTTGTTTTATGCATCTTTGATATATTACTGAAAATTGCTGATTACAACTACTTGTGATGAACTTTTAATATCTTGACAAAGCTAAGAGTGAATTAGTGTTAAAACCTAATTCTGTATTAAAGGAGTCAAAATTAATCCTGTTCTGACACACCATCATACACAGACATAATTGCATTAAATGTATTTTCAGAAGCACTTCTGCACGGTAAATAATATCTGTTAAAATTTTGTTCATTTACTGTGAACATAAAATACAGAAATATACAAAAGAAACATATTTACATGTATATTTATATTTGACATTATTTATATTGTGCACAATACAGCCATGCATATATTTATATACACACAAATATTCACTGTCAGCACAAATATATTTTGTAAATATTAACTTTTATTTTGGATGCAATTAATTGTGATTAATCGTTTGAGTACTTTTTTCCACTTTGCATTGCATTATAGAAACTAGATCTTTTCTCCACCGATTGATGTTGAAAAAAACTTTGAAAAACTGATTTATTTTTTAAATATACATTTAAAATTAATAATTTGACAGCACAAAAATCATGAATGACAAAATACAGAAAACTGCTCAGTATTGTATATTTTTTATAGTGTGCACCCGTTTGAGGTTTGCAAGTTGAGGTGTGTGTGTGTGTGTGTGTTATTGAAGGGCAAAAGCGATGCGACTCCAGTGGTCCGCTACTGTGCTGTATCTGGAATAGAGAACGGACACAAAGCCCCAATCACAGATATCCAGTGGCTGCCGGAAACCTTTGAGGTCGTTAAATACACAAATATATATAGAGTATTGCACCTTTAAGCTTTTCATACTTAATTAAACATATACAAAGTACTTCTGTTGATTATTTTATCCCCCAGGTCAACAAATTAGGGACTCCAGTGGAGAATCAGAGCCGGACATCAGTTCAGCTGGTCACGTGTGCTCCTGACTGGTGCGGTCATTTAAGATTGTTATGTTTATACTGTTTATGTTTATATCCAGAGCTGCATAGTGATGGATTACATATGCAATCTGAATTATTTAATCAGATTCTTTTGAAAAGAATAAATTACAAAAGTAAAATAAATGTAATCCAAAAGTAGTCAGATTACACTTTCATAAAGTAATCTAAATGTAACACAAAAGAAGTCAGATTGCTTTGCCATAAATGTAATCTAAATGTAATCTAAAAGTAGATAATTTGATTTGCCATAAAAAATTATCTAAAAGTTACCCAAAAGCAGGCAGATTACACCTTCATAAAGTAATCTAAATGTAACCGAAAATAAGTCAGATTACACCTTCATAAAGTAATCTAAATGTAACCGAAAATAAGTCAGATTACACCTTCATAAAGTAATCTAAATGTAACCGAAAATAAGTCAGATTACACCTTCATAAAGTAATCTAAATGTAACCGAAAATAAGTCAGATTACACCTTCATAAAGTAATCTAAATGTAACCGAAAAGCAGTCAGATTACTCCTTCATAAAGTAATCTAAATGTAACCGAAAATAAGTCAGATTACACCTTCATAAAGTAATCTAAATGTAACCGAAAATAAGTCAGATTACACCTTCATAAAGTAATCTAAATGTAACCGAAAAGCAGTCAGATTACTCCTTCATAAAGTAATCTAAATGTAACCGAAAATAAGTCAGATTACACCTTCATAAAGTAATCTAAATGTAACCGAAAATAAGTCAGATTACACCTTCATAAAGTAATCTAAATGTAACCGAAAATAAGTCAGATTACACCTTCATAAAGTAATCTAAATGTAACCGAAAAGCAGTCAGATTACACCTTCATAAAGTAATCTAAATGTAACCGAAAATAAGTCAGATTACTCCTTCATAAAGTAATCTAAATGTAACCGAAAAGCAGTCAGATTACTCCTTCATAAAGTAATCTAAATGTAACCGAAAATAAGTCAGATTACACCTTCATAAAGTAATCTAAATGTAACCGAAAATAAGTCAGATTACACCTTCATAAAGTAATCTAAATGTAACCGAAAATAAGTCAGATTACACCTTCATAAAGTAATCTAAATGTAACCGAAAAGCAGTCAGATTACACCTTCATAAAGTAATCTAAATGTAACCGAAAATAAGTCAGATTACTCCTTCATAAAGTAATCTAAATGTAACCGAAAAGCAGTCAGATTACACCTTCATAAAGTAATCTAAATGTAACCGAAAAGCAGTCAGATTACTCCTTCATAAAGTAATCTAAATGTAACACAAAATAAGTCAGATTGCTTTGCCATAAATGTAATCTAAATGTAATCTAAAAGTAGATAATTTGATTTGCCATAAAAAATTATCTAAAAGTCACCCAAAAGCAGGCAGATTACACCTTCATAAAGTAATCTAAATGTAACCGAAAATAAGTCAGATTACACCTTCATAAAGTAATCTAAATGTAACCGAAAATAAGTCAGATTAAACCTTCATAAAGTAATCTAAATGTAACCGAAAATAAGTCAGATTACACCTTCATAAAGTAATCTAAATGTAACCGAAAAGCAGTCAGATTACTCCTTCATAAAGTAATCTAAATGTAACCGAAAAGCAGTCAGATTGCTTTGCCATGAAAGTAATCTAAATGTAATCAAAAAGTAGTCAGATTATACTTTCATAAAAGTAATCTAAATGTAACCGAAAATAAGTCAGATTACTCCTTCATAAAGTAATCTAAATGTAACCGAAAATAAGTCAGATTACACCTTCATAAAGTAATCTAAATGTAACCGAAAAGCAGTCAGATTACTCCTTCATAAAGTAATCTAAATGTAACCGAAAAGCAGTCAGATTGCTTTGCCATGAAAGTAATCTAAATGTAATCAAAAAGTAGTCAGATTATACTTTCATAAAAGTAATCTAAATGTAACCGAAAATAAGTCAGATTACTCCTTCATAAAGTAATCTAAATGTAACCGAAAAGCAGTCAGATTGCTTTGCCATGAAAGTAATCTAAATGTAATCAAAAAGTAGTCAGATTATACTTTCATAAAAGTAATCTAAATGTAATCCAAAAGTACTCTGATTATAATAATGTGCAATCTAGCAGATTACTTTACTGACTACAAAATTTGACATGCCATTTGTAATCAGTAACTGCTTCGTAAGTGATCCAGCAGCTGTGTTTATATCACATACTCTATTCTTCTTCACTGTTGTGTGTGTTTATTCTAGCTTTGTGTCGTGTGTATGTATTCCAGCTGTGTGTTATTCTGGGATCTTCGGGCTCCTCGAGTCATGGTTCATTCCCTCACAGACATCAAACAGAAACAAGAGGAAAAGCCTCTGGAAAACCCTCACGGCGTGCCCAATACATTCACACACCTCAACCTGACCTGGAAACCCTTCATCAGAGTATGTGCACACACACACACACACATTAACAATTAGACGAGTAGTACAAAATGCTGACTTTTAGATCCATTTGATTTATGATAAGTACTCTTAATAACAGTAAATCTGTGTGTGGAAGGTCTCTTTACCAAAGATCAGCTCGAGCGGTGAATACAGTCCTCTGAGGTTCAGCATGAGGGAGAATACAGTAGACTACAATACAGGTGAGAGCTCAGAATCATTCACCGACCGGTTCCATCTGAATTCTTTATATTCGTTTCCAATCTCTGTTTAACGGAGAGCAGATGTTTTCAACACATTTCTGCACATAACAGTGTTAATAACTCATCTCTAATCACTGATTTATTTGATGATGACAGCACATAATATTAGTCTAGATATTCTTCAAGACACTAGTGTTCAGCTTACAGTGGCATGTAAAGGCTTCACTAGGGTAATTAGGGTAAAGTTAGGGTAATTAGGCAAGTCATTGTATAACAGTGGTTTGTTCTGGAGACAATCCAACACTAATATTGCTGAAGGGGCCAATAATATTGAGCTTAACATGAGTTTAAAATTATTAAAAACTGCTTTTATTCTAGCTGAAATAAAACAAATCAGACTTTCTCCAGAAGAACAAATATAAGAGGAAACACTGTGAACATTTCCTGAATCTGTTCAACATCATTAATGATTTGATGAATTAATTCACAGGAGGCTGAATAATTCTGATTTCAGCTGTATATGGTGTGTTAGAGCAATATAAAGTGTGCGTGGTCTGTCCGTGGCGTGCGGTGGTGATAATAATGCAGTCAGCATGATGTTAAATAAGCAGTCGAGCAGCTCTGTAAAAACATTCTCCATCACACTATAAACACTGCAGCGCCTGCTCATCCGGCAGCTCAGACCACAGCTCACACACAACAAGTCACAATAGTTCAAGTTGAAATATTACCAAAATAAAGTTGAGATATTATGAGAATAAAGTCAAAATATTTCAATAATAAAGTCAAAACAGTTAAGTTGTTAAACTTTGAGAATAAAGTTAGAATACTGTGAGAATAATGTCGAAATATGACCAGAATAATGTCAGAATTGTGTGAATAAAGTCAGATTTTCATAATAATGTCTAAATATTTCTGAAATAGACAACAGAATAATCAAGATTTTACATATTTAAAGTCATAATATTTTGAAAGTCAATAGAATTATGAGAATAAAGTAAAACTATTCTCACAAAGTCAAAATAATAAGAATAAGGTCAAAATATAACAAAGAATAAAGTCAATATTTCCAGAATAAAGTCTACATGTTATGAGATTAAAAGTGCAATATTTTAAGAATGAAGTTGAAATATTACAACAATAAAGTCAAAATCTAACAAGAATAAAGTCAATATTTCGAGATTAGTTTTGGGAATAAATAGTTTGAGATTAAAGTTGCAATATTTTAATAATAAGGATAAAAATAAAATAAAAATAAAGTCAAAATTGTGAGAAACAAGTTAAAATGTCACAAGAGTAAATATTATATTATTTTTATGAAATTATATTTATATATTAGGAAACATTATGAAGTTAAAGTCATATTTTGAGAATAAAAAATAAGAAAAAGTCAAAAATATTTTACATTAAATCTAAATTTGTGAGAATGAAGTCAAAATATACCAAGAATAGAGTAAAAGTTTCACAAACAGTTAATTTAATTAGATTAAAGTTGCAATAATTTGAGAATAAGTTTGTAATAGTTTAAGAATAAGAGAAGAATTGTGATAATAAAGTGTAAACATTTTCATCTTTTAAGGTGATAAGTCTGTGAGCGGAGCAGACAGTCGTGTATTCGCTCAGCTCCGCATGCAGTCGGCCAAACAGCAGAAACCCCTACAGAACATCAGCACTAAACTCTACATCGCGACCGAGGTGACACACACACACACACACACACACACACACACACACACACACACACAAACACACACACACACACACACACACACACACACACACTTCAGCTTATTATTAGGCTAACAATATTATGCTTTATTGTAAAGCTTGTGTACAAACTTGTGTAAACTATGCTCTTGTTCCTTTAAGGATGGAGAACTGGTTTACACCGACTGGAAGGTGGAGAAAGACAACGACTCAGGACGAATGCTGAGTAAGACACTAGAAATCCTAAAGCTATATTTTTAAACACATATACGGTGTAAGATTAGTGTTTGAATGAAAAAATTCTGCCTATTTTTACCTTTGATGAATGACCTGAACCTCCATTTGGTCCCAGGGAGCCTGGCCAGTAGATAACAAAGATTGAAGGACATTAGATAAAAGCATTGGGTAATAATTGATAAACATTAAAGAAAGTTTTTTGTACATGTTTTACTGACCTTTATGTCTTTCAAAATGTATGTCGTTTGTTGAATGGTCACGCTGCCCCCTTTTTTCAGAAGAACAGTGAAACAATTTACTAAAAGTAAACAGAAATGAGCACATTTTATTTTGCACAAAAGAAATAATAAGCCTTAATAATTATTCAAAAATAATATTTAAAAAATATTACAACCCCATTGTTAAAAGATTAAATATTTTATGTAAAACAAAACAACTAAAAAACAAAATAAAA